ACTAAACCCTGCCTAACCTATGGTCTACGTGGTTTGGTCTACTTTACCATTGAAATTGAATGTGCTCAGAAGGATTTACATAGTGGTGTATTTGGTGGTACTGTCCATGAGGCTATGCCTGATTTGTGTTGGCTTTTAAGTACTTTAGTGGATAAAGATACTAATATTCTAATACCGGGCATTGATAGAGATGTGAGTTGTATAATGTTGGTATTACTTGAGGAATATGGATTGTATTGTTTTTTGTTTTTGATAGGTTGCTCCTTTATTACACAATGAATTGGAAATTTATGATAAAATTGATCATGATGTTGAGGAATATAAGTAAGTACTATTTTATTTTCATTTACACAAAACCTTTTAGGAGGCTAAACGTTTAATCTTCTGGCACTGAAACTGCTCCACTAATTTTCCATAAAGTAATTAAAAACTATATGCATTATTTTAGAAAAGATATCGGTGCAACTAAATTGCCTCACAACGAGAACAAATCTCAATTGTTAATGCACAGATGGCGTTATCCTTCTTTATCGATACACGGCATTGAAGGTGCCTTCTCAGAAGCCGGTGCCAAAACAGTTATACCCGCCAAAGTTATTGGCAAGTTTTCAATACGTTTAGTATACAACCAAGATCCCGATCATGTAACCGAATGTGTTCTTAAATATCTAAATGAGAAATGGTCCGAACGTAGTTCACCCAATAAAATGATAGTGAAAATGATAAGTTCCGCTAAACCATGGTCTGGCGATCCCAATCATCCTCATTATGAAGCTGCTAAACGAGCAATAAAGCATGTCTTCCACGTTGAACCTGATATGACACGTGAAGGCTGTTCTATACCCATAACTTTGACATTGCAAGAGGCAACGGGTAAAAATGTTATTCTAGTGCCTGTGGGGGCCAGTGATGATGGTGCCCATTCTCAAAAGGAAAAGATTGATATTTATAATTACATTGAAGGAGTAAGTTTATTTATTATTTTTAATATAATTGGTGCTGAAAGATATTTTATTGTATTTACAGACTAAACTCTTGGGATCTTATTTATATGAAGTTGGTCAATTAAATTAAGTTTACTTTCATTATTAAATACATTATTGAAAAACAAGATTTAAATCTGGGTAAGAAATGTTCTGCGGGTTATTTTTAAACGTAAAAAAAAACTTAAAAAATAGAAACGAAATTTGAAGAAAAATGTAAATTTACAAAATTTTTTCTTTATTCCAAATTTGTGACAAATTATTTATAACATCTTTAGCTGCTGCTGTCTTGTGTTTCATAAAATAACCCTGAATCTGAGCTGGACTAACGGGTTTGCCAACAGCTAGCACAGCCTTGGCAAAATCGCTAGCATAATCATTTGATGAATTATCCTCCTGTTTGTAGAATCTATTAAACATTTCCACTAGTTGATATTCCGAACAGAAACCCATATATGATTGCATATCAACACGACCTGGTCTTATCAGAGCAGGATCTAATCGTTCAAGGTAGTTTGTGGTCATAAATACTATACGCGCTTCAGTAGATGCAACACCATCTAGGCAGTTAAGAAGGCCGCTAAATGTTACCCTATTTAAACCATCATATGCTGCGGACTGTTTTGAAACATCATCCCGAGAAGCAAATGCAGCATCAACATCCTCCAATAATATTATCGACTGTTCCGGTGCAACATTTAGAAGATGATTGAGGCGATCGTCTGTCAATCCCCTTTCTGACAAATTGAGAAGGCATATTCCATATTCCAATTCCCCGGCTAATGCCGTAATAAAACTAGATTTACCGCAACCAGGAGGTCCATATAGTAAATAACCTCTTCGATAAGGAATACCTCTGTCAATGTACCATTGCGAATTACTTATGAATTCTTTACAATCTGAAATTATTTGCTCACTTACTCCTTTATCTAGAACAACAGATGATACTGGTCGACGTCTACGAGGATGCCCAAACTGTCTCCACTCAGGACCCATAGCAGTATACATAATTGTTTTTCCTTCCGTTGCTTCTATTGCGAGTTTTCGCGCGTCTTCTAAAATATCAAAATATATCTGCTTATTTCGACCAAAGGCAGTAAGAGTTACGGATTCCCATGGAACACCCATTTGCAAATCAAGTGTCTGTTGTTCTCGATTTCTTTCTACTTGAATCCAAACGCCGCGGTAATACATTAAATGCTTTCCTATACTGGGAATAAAATCGTATTTTGTTTCGATTTTCCCCGTGTCTTTTTGAACAAATGATGTTTCAACGCTTAAATGTTGCGTTTCTCGCGCCCCTCTAGTAGTTATCCATTGAAGAAGCCAATGATATGACTTATCGCGACAAGGAACTTCTAAAGTTATCATTAAATGACGTCGAAAGAGTACCAAACCACCTTGCGGACCTTTTCGCAATATTGCTGCACCAGCGCCAATTCCAAACAAACCAAATCCTGCACTAAAATATGGATTAGTTGACAAACTGCTTATTATCTCACTTATTGGCATCCTGTTTTTACCTTATCAAAAGCACAGACAGTCATAACGTTGAAATTCAAAGTGTATTCCCAGTAAACAATTTTTGACCAATTCGGTCAGAAATTATACCGAAAATTTGCACAAGATGGCGATTTCGTATCCAAAGTCGGTTAGGAAATGTTACGAAAATCGTATGGGAGAATTCGTAACTGTTTGTCTGAAGAAATTCGGAAAAATTTTTAGATTTGTCGGTCAGAATTTTAAAATAACAAAAATACATTTATTTACGATAGATAGTTAACGTTAAAATGGAGAATAGATAAATCGTTAAGTCAACCGATATTTATTGTTACATAACGATATCGGTTGAAAACATTGAAAAGTTACAGAATTAGGGTACAGAATTATTTTAGAAAACTTCTGACATCAGACATGTCTAAAAAAATTGTTTACTAGGTTAATAAAGTGACGGCAGAACCTAGCCCTGATTTAGACTGCGCAATTATAATTGCGCAAGTTTTGATTTTGTATGTGAGAGAGAAGAAGACAGAAATAAAATTATTCTCTCCCTCAAACTCAAACTCCCTAGCGCAAGTAAAATTGTCCAGTCTAAACCAGGACTTTCTTGTTGTACAACATCTAAAATCGCAGGCAATTTGTTTCTGTTCATTGACCATCTGTCAAAATTTGAATGTTGTTTTTGTTACTTTTACAGCTTGATTACAATTCTAACCACAATCGTATGGAGAGCAAAAAATCATCATGTTGTTAGCGATTGCGACTGGACTTTAGACTAGAAAGACTAGACTACAAAATAGACTAGACTATTGACTAGACTATAGACTAGACTATTGACTAGACTATACACTAGACAATAGAGTATACTATAGACTAGACTATTGGCTAGACTATAGACTACACTATAAACTAGACTATAGACTAGACTATAGACTAGACTATAGACTAGACTATAGACTAGACTATAGACTAGACTATAGACTAGACTATAGACTAGACTATTGACTAGACTATAGACTAGACTATAGACTAGACTATAGACTAGACTATAGACTAGACTATAGACTAGACTATAGACTAGACTATAGACTAGACTATAGACTAGACTATAGACTAGACTATAGACTAGACTATAGACTAGACTATAGACTAGACTATAGACTAGACTATAGACTAGACTATAGACTAGACTATAGACTAGACTATAGACTAGACTATAGACTAGACTATAGACTAGACTATAGACAAGACTATAGACTAGACTATAGACTAGACTAGACTATAGACTAGACTAGACTATAGACTACTAGACTAGACTATAGACTAGACTATAGACTAGACTATAGAATAGACTATAGACTAGACTATAGAATAGACTATAGACTAGACTATAGTCTAGACTATAGACTAGACTATAGACTAGACTATAGAATAGACTATAAACTAGACTATAGACTAGACTATAGACTAGACTATAGACTAGACTATAGACTAGACTATAGACTAGACTATAGACTAGACTATAGACTAGACTATAGACTAGACTATAGACTCGACTATAGACTAGACTATAGTCTTGACTATAGACTATACTGGACTATAGACTAGACTATAGCCTAGACTATAGATTAGACTACAGACAAGACTATAGACTAGAATATCTAGACTATAGACTAAAATATCTATTCTATTTACTATAATACATACATGTATTTTACAATACGAACAAAAACATAAAAAATAAATAGAAATTTGCAAAAAAAAAATAAATTTAGAAAATTTTTTCTTTATTCCAAATTTGTGACAAATTATTTACAACATCTTTAGCTGCTGCTGTCTTGTGTTTCATAAAATAACCCTGAATCTGAGCTGGACTTACGGGTTTGCCAACAGCTAGCACAGCCTTGGCAAAATCGAGAGCATAATTATTTGATGAATTATCCTCCTGCTTGTAGAATCTATTAAACATTTCCACTAGTTGATATTCCGTACAGAAACCCACATATGTTTGCATATCAACACGACCTGGTCTTATCAGAGCAGGATCTAAGCGGTCAAGGTAGTTTGTGGTCATAAATACTATGCGTGCTTCAGTAGAGGCGACACCATCTAGACAGTTGAGTAGTCCACTGAATGTTACCCTATTTAAACCATCATATGCTGCAGACTGTTTCGAAACATCTTCTCGGGAAGCGAAAGCAGCATCAACATCCTCTAATAGAATAATTGACTGTTCTGGTGCAACATTTAGCAGGTGATTAAGGCGATCATCTGTCAATCCCCTTTCTGACAAATTGAGAAGACATATTCCATATTCCAATTCCCCGGCTAATGCCGTAATAAAACTAGATTTACCGCAACCAGGAGGACCATATAGTAAATAACCTCTGCGATAAGGAATTCCCCGGTCAGTGTACCATTGTGAATTACTTATGAATTCTTTACAATCTGAAATTATTTGCTCACTTACTCCCTTGTCTAGAACAACCGAAGATACTGGTCGACGTCTACGTGGATGACCGAATGGTCTCCACTCCGGACCCATAGCAGTATACATAATAGTTTTTCCTTCTGTTGCTTCTAAGGCAAGTTGTCGTGCATCTTCTAAAATATCAAAATATAGCTGCTTATTACGACCAAAGGCAGTAAGAGTTACAGACTCCCATGGCACACCCATATGCAAGTCAAGCGTCTGTTGTTCTCGATTCCTTTCCACTTGGATCCAAACGCCGCGATAATACATTAAATGCTTTCCTATACTAGGAATGAAATCGTATTTTGTTTGGATTTTCCCCGTGTCTTTCTGGACAAACGATGTCTCAACGCTTAAATGTTGTGTTTCCCTGGCGCCTCTAGTAGTTATCCATTGAAGAAGCCATTGATAAGACTTGTCGCGACAAGGAACTTCTAAAGTTATCATAAAATGACGTCGAAAAAGTACCAGACCACCTTGCAGACCTTTTCGCAATATTGCTGCACCAGCGCCTATACCAAACAAACCAAATCCAGCTCCGAAATATGGATTAGTTGACAAACTGCTTATTATCTCGCTTATCGGCATACTGTCCACAGATATAACTCCCTTATTTAACTAATCAAAAGCAAAGTGTATTAATAAAGTTACGACAGAACTTCTTGTGCAACATCTTCAATCTTCACAAGCAATTTGTTTCTGTTATCCACTAACCATATGGTATGTGTCAAAATTTGCCTGTTGTTTTTGTTTTCAAAGTTTGTTTTCATTATTGGTGCGAAGAAAGCGACACACGGAATTAGAAGAAAATTTTGAGTTTGGGAATTAAAAACCGAGAAGTAAAAATACCCTATTTTACATATTATAAGCTGGAAAGTAAAAATACGCATATATTTGTGTATTTTCTTAAGAAAACTGACTTTGGAATAAACAATGGCAATCGCGCTAAAAAATGTACGTATTCAAATACATTATTTATTTACATAGAATTTACATTTCTTTAAAATTTTTCTTTTCTTATTTATCAGTTACAGTTTAACTGTAATTTAACTTATCGAAATACTGCAGTATCATAAAACTGCTTTATCTTTCATTTCTAACAATTTATCCGGCAACATTGTTTACGATCAACACCTGTTAAAATATTTTATTTATCTGCAACCAGAGACTTACGCCGATTCGGTTTAAGCCGACTAAGCCTAGCCACCGAACAAAATGTCAAAGCCGTCGCCGCCGAAAATTTTTCCGCTATACTACTATACCGAGGGTCATTGTGCAAAGAAACAGCAAGTGTTTGGTTTAATTTAGATAAATTGTTAATAACTATGATGAAAATGTTTTTCCAGGCGGGTGTTGTTTTCGTTTAATACCCAAAAGTGTTTATTGAAATCTAGATTTGGCGTATTTGTGAGATCTAGAAGATTAAAAAATTGAAGTAATGGTGTTAATAAATTATTTATTGGTCTATAAAGAACGTCTTTCTTTTCAAGAAAGAGGAGGCATCATGATGGTCTCCTGGAAGAATGCCCACAAGAGAGTGGCAATTATATACCTCCCTAGTCACCTAGGCGGGTGGTGGTCGGTCGGCTAGTGGTGACATGGTATATTATCACCTAGAGGCAATGGACGGAAGCTGATTGCCGTATTCAGGGGGTATCCTTGGGATACATACTTATTATTATACCATTGATCTCAGCAGAATAATACCATAATAAAATAATTTTTGTTGGAACGAAAATATGTAATGTAAATATGTATATGAAATCTTCTTCAGAAAATGACTTAAACGCACATAAATGGCTTTCAAATGTCGATGTCGACGAAAAAAACATTTTTAGGAACCGAATCCTACATTTATGAAAAATAAAATTATGAGGATCGGTCCGCCATTATAACCCTCTTACAGAAAATTAGTTTATAGCTAATACATCATACCAAAAGTTATCATTATGATAGAATTATAGTAGAATTAAAAAAAGTACTTTAAATTATAGAGAACTTTGTCCATAATTGACCCAAATCCACATTTAAGTCCCTAATCCGAAAATCACGGTGACGTTCTTATTAATCTAATGATCAAAGTCCATATATATATGTATATGACCACTTCCGAAATTTGCTTTTTTACGACAAATGATTTGCCGAATATAACTCTTACTCCTTACTTATTTTAATCATAAAGAAATTACAGCTAAAATAGGAATAGTCTGCCTTTAGAGTTGCGAGTTTTCATACACTCTAATAATGTTTTCAAAGTGAAACTGGGAAACTAATAGAACTAAATTCTTCAAATTTTGCACGAAGAACTTTAATATTCATCTGAACATTTTGGAGAAAAAAGGGCGGACTTTCATCTGGGGGGCTTGGAACTACCATATGAATTAAATAGAAAAATTCGTATATCTGAGAAACTATTAGAGCTATAGTCTTCAAATTTTACTAAAGAACATTTAGAGAAATTGCAATAATTTGCGTGGAATCTCCCATATGTAACAAATTGTATATCTGGAAAACCATTGTAGCTAGAATCATCAAAATCGTTAAGCTATTTATATTTTCTTATGCAAAATTTTTTAGAAACTGATTTTCTGCAAGATGTTTTATATGGAGGATAGGGTTAAATATCGGCAGATCCTCGTAAAACTTGGAGAAAGGATTTGTTTTTAATTTTTAAGAATTTTTTATTCATCCCTGCATAATTTCTCACACAACTTTTGAGCTTGCTCTGTTTTGTTGTTATAAACAATATATTTGCTTCCAAAATCCCACTTTCTGATCTCTCGGATTCCGTTTTTATTTAAAATTGTTGAAAATTTAAAAACTAAACGTAGTTGAAAACTTAGCCGGCTTACAGTCGATCTTAAGCCGCCGCCGACATATTTGGTGTCAGTCGCCGCCGCCGTTAATATTTGTCGGCGCAGGGCTCTGTCTGCAACTCCAGCGGCAAAATTTTTTTAACTGTTTTTTTTTACTCGAAAAAATGTCTCAAATTCCTTTATTACCCCGAGAATCTGGGAGAATTTATAGTGAAAAATGCAAAATATATTAAAGTAAAACCAGAAGGCATTGAGAATCTTTGCCAAGAAATAATCAAAGGCATACAAGACCAGCGCATCAACGTAAACAATTTTTCGCAACATGATTTGCATCCAAAGCCCACAGATGCTTATGCTTTGGAATGGATATTTGTGGTGGACACATTGAATTTTTGTTTCTGGACGCCCAGTAAGTACCAAATACAAATAGCAAATTTTAACATAATATTCGAATGACTTAATTATATTCCAGCTGATTATACCAAATACAAGGTAATGGGATATACCGGCTATTTTGCTCTCTGTGCTGCCCTTAACCGAGCCATGCAGGAAGGCTTGGATATAACAAATGCTGAGTATTATAGTAAAATTACCATGGACACCGTTAAACATATATTCCGTTCTGATGATGGAAACACTATGGTGCCTTTGCTGGAAGAACGTTTAAAATGTTTTCATGAAGTTGGTCAGAGACTTTTGGAGAAGTGGCAGGGAAAATTTGAAAATGTGGTTAAAGCAGCCGAGGGATCAGCTTTAAATTTGTTAAACTTATCGTCCAGGAATTCCCCTGCTTTAGGGATGAAGCTGATTTTTGTGGCCAACGTGTAGCTTTATACAAACGAGCTCAAATTCTGGTAGGAGATGTATGGGCCTGTTTCAGGGGTGAAGGTTTGGGTGCATTTAAAGATTTATACCAAATCACCATGTTTGCTGACTACCGTGTACCACAGGTGTTGGTACATTTTGGTTCATTGGAGTACAATGAAGAATTAATGCAGCTATTAAAATCTGATGAATTGCTTAAGAATGGTGATCCCCGGGAAGTGGAAATAAGAGGTGCTTCCATTTACATAGTCGAACAAGTTAAGGACAAGGTGTTACAAGTATTAGAAGAAAAACATCCCAATATATCTAAAGATCATGTTAATTCCATACTAATTGACCATTTCCTTTGGGATTACAGACGCCAATATGCCAAAGAATTGGAATATATACCATTCCATAAAGTGTTAAGTGTATACTATTAAGTTCTTAAAAGTTTTGTAATAAAAAAAAAATAAATTGTTTGCAAGTTTGTTTACAAAAATATTTTGTATTTTCTGTTGTTTTTTAATTCCTTAAAAACTTTTTGTAGGCAGCAAATGCAAATTCACACTACATTAAAATCTACTTCTGTTTTGCAATAAACAAACAATCTATTGTAGGGAAACGGGCTTCTTCTTGCCAGCTTGTTCGGCAACACGTTCCTTGAAACGCTTGTCGGCTTCAGCGCGAGACAAGTTGTTCTTGCGGGCAAAACGTTGGTTGGTCAAGAATTTGACATCCATCTAAAAAATAAAAATATACCAACATTAGTGCCAAACTCAAATGACAAATAAAATCACTTAATACTTACACCCATGGTAGATTCGTGGCGTTTACGCATTGGGCGCTTGATGCCATTGCGATGGGCCTTACGGTTTTGGTTGTGGTTAGTGTGATTCTTTGACTTGGCCATTGTACGCTACTGCTTTAGTTTACCAAACATCCATTACACATAAACAAATCCATATATACAAATTTGTATTTTTATCCACAATTAAAATCCATTGCAATCGTTTTTATAGTTATGAAAAGAAATTAAAGAAATATTTAATTGTATTAGACACATTTTGTATTGTAGTATTCTTTTGTTATTTTCTTTTAAAATTGTTAGGAAAATTAAATTTTCAAGAAATTATTTAATAAAATTTCAAGAATTGCAACCTACGTTTTTGACAGTTTAGCGGAAAAGAAGGGAGAATTTCGAAAATTTGACAGCCTCCATGTTTTTGTTGACATTTGTCAAATTTTTGTTCGAATTTCGAACATTATTACAGAAGATGTGTTTAGTTAGTAAATTGCATAGTTGTATTTGTGAATGCTGTAGTGTTGCCGGGTATTTTTTAATTGGCTCTTTCGTGATATTTGCAGAGACAATAATAGGTATTTATTTAGTTTCTTCTACATGAAATGAGTTAAAAAAATACTTTCGCAATTCAATAGCATTGGAATTTTTAGCTAGATTTCTTTTGTGCCAAAGATTAATTTCCTAATTCTTCACATAGATTCCATGAGATTTAAAACTGAGAATTAGGTTAGGTTAGCAGGTTGTCAATTGCTGTTAGCACCAGGGACACTCTTGGGTCCAGATCCCTTTGTGATAGCAGTAAAATAGAAAACGGTCAGCGTATTAGTGCACTTCGACCCAATTATCTGCATTCCTATCCAGTTTGTCGCACGAATAAATGATTCTATGTTTTAGATATAAGCTTAGTATAGATCTATTAGATCGTACAGGAAATTACAAAGCTTTCGTCAGAGTTGCATCTCGCTAGCACATTGGAACTACAACCGCTGTTGACAATGAGTTTTCTTTTTTTACTCCATATAACTGCTTCCAATTTATTGCATTAATTGTGTTTGTTTTACTTACTCGTTTGAGGTTATGTTTCATTAAATTGGTGGAGACCAAATAATGCTTTTGATCAATTAATTGTTCGGGGCTCCGATTGAAGGCCTCTCTGTACCGACGTGGGATAACCTGGCACTTTGAGTGTTTATAAAACTCCAATAAATAACAGAGTTAACAAATGTTGAAAAATTTCACAAAAACTCTAAAACACATCGTAAAAGAACAAACAAGCCGAAGAAATCATGAAATTCATAAAAAACTCTAAAATTTCCTAAACAGT